TTATCACATAGTACAAGGCCATTCACAGTGGCTTTGTACCATATGAAAGCTGTTGCCAAGCTTAACATGACAATTAAGATAATTGCTGTTACAGTGATCATCACTGTAACAAGCAACCTCAGTGTAGAAAAAAATCCAGATCACTTTCCCAGAGTAGTACAGTATCACTATGATAACACTGCACTGCTCTGGTCACAGTATGTAAAAAAAAAGAAGTTTTAAAAAATGTTTAATTTTTAAAGTTTAAAAAAAAGATTAAAATTTTTTTTTTTTTTTTTTTACATTACATACGGTCACCAGTCAGTATCCCTATTCACCACCACACCAGTCATATTATCACTCTGTACTGCACTGGTGACAGTATGTAAAAAAAAATTTGAAAAAAAAACAAATTGTATTTAATGTCTTCATTTTTCAAAACAATTGTGAGAAATACATTACAACTTAAAAAAAAAACTTACCATGCCTCTTACTAAATACCTTGGGCTGTCTACTTTCCAAAAAGGGGTCATTTGGGAGGTATTTTTGCTGTGATGGTATTTTAAGGCTTCAAGAAATGAGGAGGTCAATACATTAAAAATTATCAATGTTCAAATATATCCCATAGTTTGTAGACTTTATAACTTTCACACAGATTTAATAATATACACGGTTTGAATGCAGAAATGTAGCTGAATACATTGTGGCGTAAATTTTTAAAGAAAGATTATTTATTTGCAAAATTTTATAACCAAAACTAAGAAAAAATGTGGGCTTTTTGCATTTTTTAAAAACCCACCAAAAGAAAGCTCAAAAAATGATAAAAATTTCAGTTGAGTACAGTGTTGCATGACTAATTGCAATTCAAAGTGTGACAGCGGTGGATGCTTAAAAAGGAAGGGGGTAAAAATGCTTAAAAATGGATAAGGGGGTAAAAGTGTCCAGTATTGAGGTGGTTACTCATAAAAAAGTACATTAAAAAACATACCATCAAAAAATATTTTATTTACGTAAACATTAAATTATATACAATGCCCCCCCAATGTAAATCCAACATCAATCATGGAATTCAGTGATGTAGATCCATGCCAGTCATGATGGGTAATGCCATATGATGATCTGCCACTACAATGACCCACCATTACAAAGATGCTGCCTGTCACTGCTGTTGCAAATGAGAGATCCCCAGCACTGCATGAATGTAAGCAACTGTGGCAATCCATTAAGGACTTTTATCCAGGCATGCAGGTTATTTTAATAAAATACTTGTAAAACTAAATATTTAATACACAGTTCACCTATGATACAGTATTCACAGAACATTATAGGATTTCTAAAGATAGAGCATACCTCTAACTGAAATGTTGTAGCAGTCCAATAACATTTTGTCAGAAAGGGGAGGAAAAGGGCATAGGCTTTTATTCCAATTTGTTCATTTGTAAGTGTAAATTGGAGATTAAGCTTTTGAGCTAGGGAAATAATTGGATTTTTTTAGCAAAGCAATTAAGAATAGAAAGGTAATCCTGTGAAACGTAGTCTGGAGCTCCTTCTGTTGGAGGCTGAAAATTAGGCAAGCCATAGACGATGCGATTTTCTCTCCTGCAGCCATGGGTTGCAGAAAATAACTTGTTTCCCCATCAACACAGTCAGTGTTGAATGGGGAATCCCTCCCATAGAGCTATTGTGTTTACCTGGCGGGGGGGCATGGGGAGCCATCCCTGCTGGGAGAACACAATGATTAATGCTAGAAATCCAACATGCTGATTGTACCTAATTCGATGGATGGATGGACTTAGGTACAATTAGCCTGGATTCAGATAACGAATGCATCTAAATTTCATTCTATTTGTTAATTTGGATGCGCATGACGCCAGATGATATTGTCCAATCAGCTTCTGCCATTTCTCTTGATGGTTTGGACTAGCATCTGAAAATATTGAATCCTTCCAATTTGATTTTGTCTTATTCAATAATATATCAAATATATAGTCATCTTCTGGAAAGACTCCCACATTTCTCAAATCTGCCTGGACCAACGAATATACAAAACGAATTCCGAAAACAAAATGATGAAATGTAATTCTTCAATGAATGAATGCATAGGACCTGAATAGAATTTTTTTTGCCGTGTGCATGTCTAATATCTGTTTGTGGAGGGCAGGGACACCAACCTGTTATAAAAAAAAAAGAGAGACAGAAGAAACAAGACTGGGTTGTGGAGGGAGAACGAGAAGGCAAAAGAGCTGGATAGTGGAAGCCAGTACACCCCTCTTTGTGTATTCAAGGTACTCCCTAATGACGATAAAGATATGAGTGATTTTTTTTTTTAATGTCAATGGTATAACTTTTAGGGCTGAATATTATAATAACATCAATATTATAAAAAAACAAAACACTTAGTGAGTTTTTTTTTGTCCAGTAACGCTCATTTTCCTACCTATGTTCCCACAATGCATATTTAAAGTCCTTTCTAAGCATTTCAGTCCCCAAATATACTCCAGCCTCCTCTGTCTGCACTAACGATCTTATTTAATGATATTGTTAAAAATAACCTTATTGCAGTAAACTACAAAAACTAATAGAATCCAGGTTTATGGTAGTCACTTTGTTGAAGTGTTGTAGCTCATTTCTGTTACTGCTTTTTGCAGATCATCATTGCCTGTCTTAAAATACACTGCTCAAAAAAAGTATTAGCATCAAGTCCTGGGATATTGATCTTGTCAGTAGCAGAGGGGGTTGTTAATCAGTTTTAGCTGCTTTGGTGTTAATTAAATTAACAGGTGCACTAGATTGTCAACAATGAAACCACTCCCAAAACAGGAATGGTTTTACATTTTCTTCCTTACCAGGGGTGGACTGACAACTCCTGGGGCCCCCAGGCAAAAGGAAATCATGGGGCCCCTGTGTGCTTGCCCACACTCAAACCACACCCAAAAAGCCTATGAAAGGTACCAGGGGCATCTCATGGGGCCCCCTACTTACCCTGGGCCCTTGGACAGTGCCTGGGTGCCCGAATGGTCAGTCCGCCCCTGTTCCTTACTCATATTTTCTGACTGTTTTACATTTGGCTAGGGTCAGTGTCACTACTGGTAGCATGAGGCGATACATGGATCCTACAGAGGTTGCATAGTCAATCCAACTCCTCCAGGATGGCACATCAATACGTGCCATTACCAGAAAGGTTGCTGTGTCTCCCAGTACAGTCTCAATAACATGGAGGAGATTCCAGGAGACAGGCAGTTATTCTAGGAGAGCTGGACAGGGCCATAGAGGGTTCTTAACCCATCAGCAGGACTGGTATCTGCTCCTTTGTGCAAGGTGGAACAGGATGAGCACTGCCAGAGCCCTACAAAATGACCTCCAGCAGGCCACTGGTGTGAATGTCTCTGGCCAAACAATCAGAAACAGACTTCATGAGGGTGGCCTGAGGGCTCGACGTCCTCTAGTGGGCCATGTGTTCACTGCCCAGCACCATAGAGCATTGGCATTTGCTATTGAACACCCGAATTAGCAGGTCCACCACTGGCACCCTGTGCTTTTCACTGATAAGAGCAGGTTCACCCTGAGCACATGTGACCAACGTGAAAGGGTCTGGAGAAGCCAGAACTGTTTTGGTGGTGGGTCAGTGATGGTCTGGGGAGGCATATCCATGGAGGGACGCACAGACTTCTAAAGGCTAGACAATGGCACCCTGATTGCCATTAGGTATCGGGATGAAATCCTTGGACACATTGTCAGAACCTACGCTGGTGCAGTGGGTCCTGGGTTCATCCTGGTGCAGGACAATGCCCAGCCTTGTGTAGCGAGAAAATGCAGGCAGTTTCTGGAGGATGAAGGAATTGATATCATTGAATGGCTCCATGCTCACCTGACCTAAATCCAATAGAACACCTCTGGGATATCATGTTTCGGTTCATCCGGAGCCGCAAGGTTGCACCTCAGACTGTCCAGGAGAACAGTGATGCCCTGGTCTAGATCTGGGAGGAAAAACCCCAGGACACCAACATTTCCCTGATGTTGTCAGGCATGCACACAAGCACGTTGGGGGCCATACAAACTACTGAGTACCATTTTGAGTTGCTGCAATGAAATTTCAGCAAAATGGACTAGCCTGCTGCATAATTTTTTCACTTCGATTTTCGGGTGTCTTTGAATTCAATCCTCTGTAGGTTGATAATTTTTATTTCCATCAAACGATGGGGCATCCTTATGTTCCTAACACGTTACCCAGTCCATATCAATATAGATATCCAGCATGATATTTTCCCCATTGAGATCTGATGTGCTTTCAAAGTTCCCTTAATTTTTTTGAGCAGTGTACCAGCCTATAGCTGCCAGACTCATAAAAGTCTCTGATTCCAAATAGAATTGAGCTGTGTTTTTGTATCATAGCAATTTTAAGTGATCTGTAAGGCAAATTACAAAAATTCTGGCAAAGCTACAATATCGGTAGGATATGCAAGTGCATGATGCAGAAATGTAAAAAGATCAACAAAGGACTAGGCTATGATTTTTAAAGAGATTATAACAAACAATGGTTTTGACATGCTGGTAAAGTTTTTATCAATTCACTGAAATGCCAAAGAGGCATTACTTTACAATCTTAGTATCATGGAGTCTAGCTACACTCTCCTGTTACAGCACTTTACAAGTAATTCTGAATGCTTGGTGGATTTTTTTTAATGTGATATCTGTTACCTTTATCTGTGGCATTATATAAAATGGTACTGCAAGAAATGATGGTGATCAATTTTCCCATATTGATTATACATGATTTCCTATGACTATATTACCTGATATTTTTGACTGAGGAAATAAATTTCCACTCCAGCTTATACCTTAATATATGTAATATACAGAATATTACATTTTTCAAAAATAATTCAAACAGCAGAAAGAACTAAAAGCTAGATTTCAGAGTATTGTCAAAATTGTTTTTTTAGCTCACGCTCTGACATTTTCATCCTAGTTTTTGTGCATTCAGAAAGTCTTTTGCGAAAGTTTCCACTAAGAAGTACGTAAAGAAAAGGATTAATACCACTACTGGCATAGCTGAGGCAGATAGAGCAGTAATAGCTCACATAAAAAAATAATGTTGGTTTAGAAATCTGAAGGTTTATGATCTGTATAACATGGTAGGGGGCTGCACTGACAATGAATACTCCTACCAACACGAGAACCATCTTGGTCAGTCGTAGCACTCTTTGCCTTGGTAAGCTGTTGTTGTAACTGAAAGAAAATGACAAGAAATGGGTTACTAGGTAAAAATAATCATCACACACTTCATATCACTAGGCAGAAGATAACTTTGTAAACATAAGGCCTAACGTACAAAAAAATATATTTTTTCACTTTGAGTACAATGGGGAATAGTAGGAACCCCTATAAAGGTTTTATGGCCATCGTGAAGTTGATGCCCCACAGCTATCCTCGCTGCAAATGACTGATGATGTTCAATGAAATTGGGATAAGGGTATGGATATAAGATAACAGCTCACTTGGGTTAGATATTAGTAAGTTCAAAAATTGGTTTTAGGTATAGGTGAAGTTTTAGTGTACAGCCAGTGGGATCCTACAAAGGAAGCTCCAATGCAAAAAGCTTGGACAATCCTCTCCTATAATTTGATAGTTTTGTCTAATTTGGTTTTATATTTTAAAAATGACAATTGCGGTCATGCAACAGTGTACCCAAAACAACATTTTTAGAGATTTCTTTTGGTGGTATTTATTCACCACCGTGTTTTTTTATTTTTTCTACACAAAGAAGAAAGACCAAACATTTTGAAAAACGTTTTTTTCTTAGTTTCTGTTATAAAATTTTGTAAATAAGTAATTTTTCTCCTTAACTGGTGTGCGCTGGTGAGGCTGCAATGATATGTGACACTGATAGGCAGCACTGATGAGCACTTGCAGGCATCACTGATGGGCACTTACAGGCAGCGCTGATGGACACTAATAGGCAGCACTGATGGGCACTGATACGTGGCACTGATGGGTACTGGTAAGTGGCACTGACAGGAGTCACTGATGGGCACTGATAGGTGGTACTGACATCATATGACATCCTCCCAGAACAATAGCGGTCCCACTCAGCCATCATAGCACTATAGGCTGGGTGGGAATCGGTTAAAACTGATTTTTATGTCTTTTTTTTTACTATTTCAAGAACATATTTGTTGCACAACTAAATATTTGATACAGGGTTTACCTGTGGCATTGGATTCACAGAACATTATGAGCCAGTTCTCACCACAAAAACGCACTCTAGATGCCTTCCAAATACTTTTTTGCTTACAGTTCACACCGCACTTCATTCTGGTGCATTTTTGATATGCTTTGCTGTGTTCCAGTACAGTTTTGCACAGAAAAAATGCAGCATGTTCTTCTTTTTTTCTGCACTGGAACTGCACTGGAACTGCACTGGAACTGACTGAATTTGCGTGAACTAGGGCCATTGGTATACATGGAAAACACTGTACATGCATTTTTGATGCAGAAAAAAATGCATTGGACTGCATGTGGTGTGAACTGGCCCTATAGGATTTCTAAAGATATAACTGAAAATTCATACTTATCTCTCTGATTACATTAGTTTGGAGACGGGAGAAAGAAGGGATAATCTCTATTCTAACAATTTTCATATGTGTGTGCAAACTGGAGCTTGAGCTATTGAGCTATGGAAATAACTGGATTTTTTTTTCAGCAAAGCATACAAGAATAGAAAGGTACGTCTGTGAAAAGTAGTCTATCGCTCTACGTATTGGAGGCTAGAAATGATATAAAACCACTATACATTCCCTTTAAGTACATGAACTAGTTTAAAAATCATGGCTTTGTTCCTTTATGCCATGGCAGTTATATGTTAGTATAATGTACAAACTCTATCATGAACTGCTCAACACTCTATAGTAAGAACATTGTTCTGTTTCTTTAACTTTCTTGCCCCTATTAAGGACACATTTTCCCTTAGGAGGTGATGGAAAATTCCTTCAATGGGGGGCACAGACAAAAACACATTTTTAGCAGAGCGAGGAATGGTTAAAATTGTTTTATTCTTGTCTGTGCCTTCCTGTCTGAGTGATGCCTGCAACTCCCCATTTCTTGTAAGGCAAACAAGGACAGAAAGTGAGAGAAAATCTTCCCAATGGAGTCACAAACAGAAATAAAGGCCAAATGGAAATCTAAATCCTTCCCCACTCTATCCCAAAAAAAAAAGAGGAAAATGTGTCTGGAGTTACACTTTAAATAACATATTTGAGAATTTCCCTTCACCCTGCAAATGTCCAATCCTGACCTTCAGCTGCAGACATGCTGCATGCTCCAACTTGCATCAGAGTAAGGAGTTTGTTGCCATAGAGAATAAAACATCAATGCATGAGAAGGTGAGCTGGTATTATTGTAACAAGGCCGCTACACTCAAGTCTAAGTGTTGGCACTACATGTGCAAACTAACATGCTAACGTGTACCTGGATTGGTGGGGGGGTCTAGTCTGTTCCTGGGTTTCGGTCAGACATCTTTGGAATCAAAAAGTTTCAGTTCTGGTTCAGTATTTTTGAGAGTCTACTGCAAAAATCATGAAGCTGAAGTTTTACTGAAGGTGTCTTAATTAATGTGTACATTATACTATTGTAATTTCTTTCATATCCACCAATATTAGTTTCTTCTGACCTTATATTTTTACCTTATCTAATTTTTAGATACATATATAACATCTCCTAACTGGCAGGTCAGGTTAATACACTAAAACATTACTCTTTAGGCCATGCTTGATATTATGTTAATTTTTATTATGTCCTTTTTCACACTGACAGTTTTTCTATTAAATATTTCTCAATAGAGCAGCATAAATTATTTAAAGGTCTTTGTGCTCTTCTGTATGTAGATAGTCATCTGCTTGACATTGGCTTTCCAATATCATTTCCTCTAACATTGGTAACAAAAAACAAAAAAGAAAATACTATATACCATGTCCTTCAGTGAAATACCTAGAAACTGCAAATGTCACATGCAATAAAAGTCCTCAAATAGAAAAAATAAAGTGTTCGCTACAGTATTAAATTATAGTTTTCAAGAAAAAAACACTTTACAAAGTAACAGAAAATCTGAGTTATGCATCAAAATAACCAAAGTAGAGTTTCGGCTATATTGAAAAAGCCTAGCAGCTAATTGCTTTGAGCCAAATATCACTCAATGTTCAGTGTGCTAAAACCAAAAAGGTCTCATTTAGGATAATATAACATTAACTGTGTGAATAACCATACTATTACCATTTTGCCAATTCCCATATGGAAGAAGAAAAATATATTTGAAATATATTTTAAAAATATTGTTCCCAAATATATTGCCATATATTTGAAATACTACAATTTCAGCCATATTCAATATATTTAAAAATTTAAAAATATATATATATATATATATATATATATATATATATATACATACTGCATGTTGAAATGCGTTATTATTACAAAGTATGTCTTTAAAAATATAAATCTACATTTTTGGAATGCATTTACAAATATATGTAGAAACATATGTTAAAATTACTTTTTTATATGTTAAAAAAATCTGAAGACAATATTTAAAAATATATATTTTTAAAATTATATTTTTTTAAATATATTTTTCAGATTTTTTTTCACCGAAAGAAAGCTCTATTTGTGGGAATTTTTTTTATTTGGGTGCAGTGTTGCATGACCGCGCAATTGTCAGTTAAAGTAACGCAGCGCCGTAACGCAAAAAATGCCCTGGTGAAGAAGGGGTGTAAATCCTCTGGAGGGCAAGTGGTTAAAACAACATGATGAAATGGATTTGTGCTACCAGTGTGTGTTAGGGCCAAAGCAAAGCCATCATCACCAGGCATTGGAATACTGATGAAGATGGGTGAGAGACTTGGGGGACGGGAAGATGAGTAAATATGGAAATAAAAATCAGCAACTGGATATAGCAGTAACTACCATCTTGTCATAATTTCTCATCAGATTTACTCTTCTCTCACTCTTTGAGTCTGTCCTTCATCTTCATCAGAATTCCACACCCTGATGAAGGGGGCATTGTTTTTGCACTTGAAATTTGTTGGCAACACAAATGGACTTTATCAGACTGTTTTGTAAATACATTTGATATTTAGACTGTTGACTATGAGTATCAAGCTCTACATTCTTGTCCATTAAATTATTAGGTAGTAAGTCATGATCAAGCGGGCATTTTTGAGATTTTAAATCTTCTTTTTAGACCTTCTCCCATATAAGTTCATAGGAAAGAGAATGTGGCAGTTTTATATAAGGTGAATCCAAAAAGGGAAAAGAACAAGATTCCTAGATAGTGATGTACCTATTAGAGTTGACACTCCAGTGAGATTGTGTGCCAAAAAGTATTGTCAGTAATAATTATTAAACTAATTAAATACCAATAATGGACAGAAAAGAGGAAGAAGCATACAATTTTCTTTATCTAAAAGTGGTATATGTGATTATGTCAGTAAAAAAAAAAACTAAATCTACAATTTAAGGGTTCAAGAGTGGTGCCTATAGTGTGCCACAACAAGACAAGTGGGGTGGTTTGAAATTTCAGGCCGGTATGGGATTTAATTACAGCATTATTTTCTCACAGCAGATACTTGACAATAAGTAGGCAAAAAATGGCAATCCTGAAAATACATGGGAAGCAAATGGAAAATCTCACATAATACACGGGCAACAAACAGCCAACCATTTTAAAATGTGGGCAAAAAAGGGCAATGATTACAATATGAGAGCAGCAATTGGCCAATTATGATGATGCAAGCTAAAAATGGGCAAATGTGACAATACATGACCAGCAAATTGGCTATTGGGTCAACTCCCCCAGGCTCTCCTCCCAATCACTACAATTGTGAAAGAGGAAACAGCAAAACAATATTTAACAGACAATGAACACGCTGCTCAAGTCTGGGACATCCATTATCTATAAAGGAAAATTAATGATACAGTTCAATATCTTGCTAGACTCATTATACATTATGTTGTAGAAAATCTACTGCTATCACTCTTGTATTGAGCTGTATTGTTGCTGTATTGTCTCCCGTCATATTGTAAAGCGCTGAGCAAACTGTTGGCGCTGTATACATCCTGTATAATAATAATAATAACAATATTTTGCACATGGATATCAAAATAACAAATAACGTGTAACAGTAAATAAGGATACAGTTGACGCATACAAACAAAATCAAGAAAGCCTTTCA